TGGTTAGTCGACCGTTCACTATACATAAGGAAATATTTATCAACCAATGATTATCCACACGTAACAGACTAAGATACTATTTACTTAAGTAAATTTCAATTATCTAAACAAAAATAGTATTATTAAAACTAAAGGCATGATTTATATAGAAAGTTTAAAGAAAATATATTTTGTCTTATATTTGCGATTTCTCGTTGAAATCTAATTTATTAAGCCGCATAATATTTCATAGAAAAGGAAACAATATCTAATTTTATGTATTCTCTTTTAGGTAGTTAAGATGTTGATGATGGTGGTTTTGCTCTTTGCATTGCTCTGTCTACCCTACCGGACGATGGTTGTACACAACAGTTTTTTTGAGTCATTTGTGACGTGGTGGTCACTGCTTTTCATTAAAGTTATGTCGTATCTTAACTCTGCCGTCAATCCCATCCTCTATAGTGCCATGTCTCATAAGTTCAGACGTGCTTTTAAACAATATCTCACCTTCGGTAAGTGATGCATGAACATTTAATAAAGATATTTGAAATGGTGACGTATTATTGAGGAATTCTCAAAGGCCAGAAATATTGTGGCAATCTTGTAAAAAATTTGTTTTACCACTTTATTAAGCGTTGTTTCTTTTATGGATTTAAATTGAAAGGTTTTTTTCAGAGAATAAAAATATCTCTTATTGTCAACAAACTTTTGTAAAGCAATTGAATAATCTATTCCTGAAACCATTTAAGTCCATGTCAATAGGACTTATTCTAGTCTCTAAATTCGGGGCTGAGATATATGTTTTGTAATATGACGCACGGAAAAATTATTAGTGATTATGCGTAGGCAAGTATATTTCAATTTTCGTATGTAAGTAGAGTTTGGAGATTTCCAGTAAATCAAGTATATGAGATGTATTCACCCTATTAGGCTTAAAGTGATAAAGGATTGGAAGTATAATTTTTCCACAATGTCAATAGAACAGACGTTTCCATTGAATTTAACAGAGCCTTGCTTTCCCAAAAGTATTTCTCATCCAGGGTGGACTGCAGTTCCGACCTCGCATCGGTCCTATCAACACCCCCAGTGGGGGTCGAATTGTGACAGTGCAGCATGTGAGCTTGACACCTTAACCAATCGGCCACATTGCAAAAAGTGCACAGGGCAGATGTGAATTTAAAGGAAGGCCAGGCCTTTTCCAATATCACATTGTGGTGAGATTTTCGATGAAGCAAACGTATTTTTGCTATAACATTCAACTACATTAATTAATTTTCGTATATAACTAGTGTCTCGAGACTACCAGTAAACCGGTTATATTAGATTCAATTGAAACGTCAGCTCTGCTCATATAAATGTGGGAAAATTCTACCACCAGCACTTGATCACCTTAAACAAAATAGAATGAATATTTTTCAT